AAGCGCTTTACACAGATAAGAATCACAAAGTGCTGTACAGGACAGTGGACAAAGACGAAACAATATAAAATACATTTACACACATGTACGTAAAAGTGACATTAGTGAGCACCCAATGAACTAAAAGCTTTCTTAAATAAATAAGTCTTCAAGCCTTTTTAAAAGAGTCCACAGAGTCGGCCAGACGTAGGGACTGGGGCAACAGACTGAAAAGACAGGTCCCCTCGAGTCTTATAATGGGTTTTGGGGACCACAAGCAAATTCTGGCCAGAGGACCGGAGAGTGCGGCCAGAGGAGTACAGGCTCAAAAGGTTCAGGATGTACTGGGGGCCTGACCATTTAAGGCTCTGAAGGTCAGCACTAAAATCTTAAAATCAATCCTGAATTTGACTGGGAGCCAATGAAGAACAGACAGAACAGGAGTGATATGGGACCTTCGAGGGGCACCTGTTAAAAGTCTAGCAGCAGAATTTTGAACAATTTGAAGTTGGTTGAGTGCAGACTTATTCAAGCAGGTAAAAACAGAGTTGCAATAGTCAAGCACAAAATGAAACATGATTTTGTCGAATGCAAAAAAGCCCCATAACATGAGGCTGCCACCCCACAGGGCACAGGGACTGGCCTCCTGCTGGGACTGAGGAGCACAGGGACTGGCCTCCTGCTGGGACTCTGAGGACCACAGGGACTGGCCTCCTGCTGGGACTCTGAGGAGCACAGGGACTGGCCTCCTGCTGGGACTCTGAGGAGCACAGGGACTGGCCTCCTGCTGGGACTCTTTTTGGCAGAACAAACCAAAAAATCACTCCAAAGTTGTTGTGTGCTCTTTTCAAAATAATCATCCACAGAATGGCACCAATTTTATGAGGAACATCAAATTAGAATCACCAGACCACTTTTGCAAAAAGGTCCTATTCATCTGAAGTTAAATCTTGTGTTATCTGCCAGCTCTGTGGGGCCACAAACTCTTCTGTTCTGACCCACTCTGCAAGAGGAAAGAATGCAGGAAAATGCTTTCAGGAATTCCCTCAGCTGCAGACTCGCCACGTCACCTGTTTCACTGTAAAACAGTCCATTCGTTTGAAGCGTAGGATTGTTCTCTAATAGGGAACGTAGGGAACAAATCTGGAGGAGGCTACAGCAGATCCCTGGAACAACCTCAGAAACCTCAGTCCAGAAATGTGCAGAACCTTCAAGCTCCAAGGCCTTGAGTACCAGAGCTTGGAGAGGGTTAAAACCGCCCACTTAAACGTAGCACATGTGGTGTATGTTGGCTTCTTAAAGGAACAATGCAAATACCTCTCCACTGACATGAATGAATGAAGTTTGTTTATTAAAGGGACAGTGTGTCCCTTACATCTAACACATGTACAGTAGATGCTAGACCCTCACATCTAACTCATTTAGATGCTAGACCCTCATATCTAACTCATTTAGATGCTAGACCCTCACATCTAACTCATTTAGATGCTAGACCCTCACATCTAACTCATTTAGATGCTAGACCCTCACATCTAACACATTTGAACACATCAGGCAGAACTGTCGAGCGCATGCACAGTGTTCGGTCGCTCCTGTTGCGTGTCTTTGCTGCGATGGGCTGGCTCCCGCCTGCATTCCTATTCCTGGAAGATGTAGAGTGACCCATGACTGGACTGGACTGGTTTGAGCCTCAGATACTGTACACTTGTGTTGTGCACAGTCAGCTTTGGAAGGCACTGAACTCAAGGAAGGAGCTGAAATGTACTGGATAACTGGGTGTTTCGTTATTTTAAACAAACGCACAGAGGAAAGCGATGACATCTTCAAATATAGAATAATACGTATGCAATAAACATGTCTATTTCATCATCATTTATTTTGTGGCCGAAAGTCAATCCCTGTTAACTACTCAAGGACGGTCCAACTTAGTGTAAGTACAATAGTTCTGCTTGTTTCTACATGCAATGCAGCTTTGGGCAAAACAGACTGACGCAACCTCTGAGACAGTTGCATGTCACTAGAAATAAATTCTCATAGATTTAGAAGCAAAAACAAAAATGAAATTGTGTAACAGGGAACGTGAGCCGGGACTAGACCGCCGTGAGACCGGTCAGCGTGACCCTACAGAAGACGTGTCATTGCAATAGTAATCCTGCTAACGGTTGCCCATTTATTCAATATAGACGTATTCATTTTCATTTGACTTCAAAAAATTATGATAAAGCTATGATTCAAAACAACAACATGAATGAAGAGGAGGAGAAAGAAGAGGAGACTTATGATATGTGCCTTTCTCAGGGGTCACTGGCTCTGAAGACACCAAAGTAAATAGTAGGAACCGCACCGTAGCCGCACCTCGGGTCCGCACCTCGGGTCCACACCTCGGGTCCGCTCAGCCACATCTATGCCTCTGCCTGACACAGACGCTAACACAAACACATCTTGCATCATGTTCTGAAATACACATGGAGCTCCTCTACTTTGGTTTGGCCTTCAAAGCAGTTGTAGTATGTGGCCAAAAATAAAAGGATGATGAACACACGCAGGAGACGCCCCCCTGGGTCAGACCCTCGTTCAGACAAGAACAGACTGGCTGTGCTCGATCAGTAACATGTGCATGGCTATGTACTGGATAAGGAGAGTAAGGCCTTTGCAGTCAGAGGGACACACTTGTGGAACATTCTACCTGCTGAACTGAAATCACTAACAAACCGGAATGAGCTTAAAGTAGCAATATGTAAGATTTTCATGTCAAATCATCATTAAAGGGCCCTAATCTGTCATCATTAAAGGGCCCTAATCTGTCATAAGGCATTAATGAAAAATGTTCTTTTCCAATACTTCTTTAACTGATAACAGTAGTTCAGAGATATTTGAATTTCTAAATTACTTTTCCAGCCTCTAAATCTTGTTATTGTTTTTATTTCGATGTCCCGCCCTCCACCGTTTCACCAATCAGAGAGTCTGTTATCCGGGCGCCAGAACTCACTTATTGAGCTAATCTCACTGGTAAAGTACCATGTGGCGCAGAACTAAAAAAGGTCTCGTTATGATTCTCAAATCATTAACGACTAAACAAGGAATAAAACCAGGATTTCTATCTTTGTGAAAAAGGTGTTGGTTATAGATTTGTTGTTGACAAAACTCTTGTCTATTCAGCTGTTATGGTCCCAGCTGGATTCGTCTGCATATCTGGCAACCTGAGTCCGGGAAAGTGCAGTACCACTTTTGGCCACATTTTTACATACTGCTCCTTTAAGTTGAACATTGCTTCATTCATTGCAGAGAGCACCCACTCAGATTATCATCCACCTGCTCCACTGTAACTTGTGTTTACTGTGGGGCCCTGAAAGACAGATTAGTAATCCTACAGATCTATTTCACATCTTTTCCCTTGATACAGTTTATATTCAGTGGGCGGCACGGTGGCTGAGTGGATAGCACTCTCGCCTCTCAGCAAGAAGGTCCTGGGTTCGAATCCCGGTTGGACCAGGGCCTTTCTGAGTGGAGTTTGCATGTTCTCCCCGTGTCTGCGTAGGTTTCCTCCGGGTGCTCCGGTTTCCCCTACCACTAAAAATATGTGCAATAGTTCTGGCATGTGCCTCCTGTACTGGCGACCCCGCTCCCAAAAATAACAATTGTAAACCGCTTTGAGACTCCGATGTGCAGTGAAAAGGCGGTATATAAATAAAGATTACTTACAATTACTTACAGTCAGATCAGGACCTCCATGCACACTCCCACATGATTTTTATTGAACCATCGTTTTAATGAATACTGTTAGTACAAGCCCCGACTGGTTTGTGCTCAGTGCCCCGACTGGTTTGTGCTCAGTGCCCCGACTGGTTTGTGCTCAGTGGCACAAAAACGCCTGGAACTCGCAAAGATTCATGGGAACTCAGGCCTCGTCTGGTCCTCCTGGTTCTGCGCAAATACATGTGTGTGGCTGTGATGCACGTGCACAGAGGGGCTCGGCCACGCTCTGACCAATCAGAGCTGATCAGAGCAGAAGTTAGAGCGAGAGCCAGACGAGCAGAGTTTGTGGCACTAAAGTGTGGATTAAAAGAAAACGGAAGGATTTAAGAAGAAAAAAAGTTCAGGACGACAAGGGACACTAAAATCCCCACAAAATCCGATCTTTATCAAAGCTGTAGGTTCTCTGTCAGGTTCTCTGTCAGGTTCTCTGTCAGGTTCTCTGTCAGCTGAGGTCGAGTTGTTTTAGTTTACATTGAGTTCTATGGGGAACATTTCTGGGAAGCCCACGTGAATTTAGTCTGGTTCAGTCTGCAGTACCGCGAGAATCCCCCGAGCACATGAGTTATTCAGCTCCAAGCTAGTATCCAGTTAATATAGTAGATCCATGTGTTAGTAAAACAAACGGCATCTATGTTTACAGAGCAGAGGATCCGGATCCAGCTCTGTTAATATTCTATGTGTTGTTTGTAAAAAGGTTAGCGACATGTACAGGTCTAACTGTCAGTAGGAGACGCAAAAAACAAAATGAATTGTAAAGAAATGGACCAAAGAAAACAACATGTCTTTTCACTGAGCTTCAAAAACATGACACTCCTTTGACTGTAAATGACTCTCATGAAGCTGCAAAGGAGGCTCGTGAGAAGGATCTATATGGAAAGAATGATAAAAGACTATGAAATATGGCATTCACATTATAATCAAGTACAAAATAACAAAATATATTTTCCTTAAAGCCAGAACTAAAAGGAAATTTGGAAAGTTGTAAAGACCTTATTAGACTTAGATCCAAAAGGGAAATTGCGTTGTCAAAGTAGCTCGCATAGTATTTCACAATAAAATAAATAAATAAATAAATGAAAATAACATAATAATAATCTGAAAATAAGAATAATAATACGATAAGATATTGCCGTGGTTCTTACATAGCAGGACAGAGAAAGTGTCCACTGTGGAGCAAACAGTCACACGGTTTTGCAGGGAGTGACCAGAAACCGGCTGATGCATCATGGGTAATAGAACACTGGACAATAACATCAGAGACTCACAGATGCAGATCGTGGCCAGAAGCCGAGTGGCGATGAACGGGGGCAGGCAGTTCTGGAAGGCGGGCTGCAGGACGTAATTGGAGAAGGTGAGTGCGATGACGGCCAGCGTGGTCGGGTACATGATCAACACGGCGCTCCACAACAACAGGAAGCTGCAGACGACACGACAGAAGTGTGTCACAATCTCCTGAGAATATTTGTTCTTAAAAACAACAACAGCAGGAAATGCAGGGTCGTTGGGCGGCCTGAATATTTTTTAATTAATAACATAATTTCTAGCTATGTGTGAGGGACAACTTTTGGGGAGATTAAAAAAAGCTTTACAAGAACATTACTTAAAAAAAACAAAAGTTATGTTTTAATTTGTAAAGGGCTTGAAAGAGCATTTGAATTAAAATTATTTATTCATTCATTTTGAGCAAGTATGTGGGCATAGAAGTAATTAGTACAAATGAATCACAAGAAACTTATAGTAGGTAAATGTACAAAATAAAACAAAAAGAGTAATAATATTAAAAAAGAGTGATAACAATAACAAAAAGAATTATAATAATAACAAAAAGAGTGATAACAGTAACAAAAAGAGTGATAATAATAACAAAAAGAGTGATAATAATAACAAAAAGAGTGATAATAATAACAAAAAGACTAACATAACACTTATGGATGCACTAAAAGTATCAATATTGACTCAGAGCCAGAACGTTCACATCCCGACTCAGGACTATATACTCAGCTTTATGACCGTTTTTTAAGTGCAAACATAATTTTTGTCTAATTTAGTTTCTGTTGTTAAGTCCATAAATAAGTACGGTAACGTTTTTGGGACAGAAGTGTGTTATTGAAGTGTGGCTGTTTGGTATTTACACTTTGGTCTGAGCAGGTGCTGTACAGACGTCTGGACCATGTGACAGATCATGTGACAGATCATGTGACCACGGCGCTGACATAACACCCCAGCAGCAGCTCTAAAGCCCCGACACAATACAGCTTCATGTCTGTGTGGTGATGCTTACCCCACCAGGCCTCCAAAGATCTCCGTCACATAAGAGTAGTCCCCTCCAGACTTGGGGATGGTGACGCCCAGCTCAGCGTAGCACAGGGACCCCAGGGCACAGATGCCTCCGCCCAGGACCCACACGATGAGCGACAGCCCCACGGAGCCGGCATGTTCCAACACTCCTTTGGGAGAGATAAAGATTCCTGATCCGATGATGTTTCCTGGAAAGATCCAAGTCAAAGTCAGAGATGCTGAAAACCTCAAACAAGTCGATGACCTGTTGTCTTTCCAGCAGCGGTGCCAGTGCAGACCAGCGACCACACATTTCCCTTCAATGCCTTGGCTGAGTTTCAGACGTCATAAAGACAGTGTAGTGCAATCAGATCAGAAGAATCTATATTTTTCATTGCATTTTAAGAATACATTTTACCCCCAGTCCGTCCCACAACATCCCCAAAAGGAGAGATCGCATATGACTATTACCACAAAATACATTTATAACAAAAAAGTAAAAAAGGAAATAGAATTATCAATTAATTCTTTCCATGTTTTTTCTCTGTTAATTATCAGTTAAACAGACAGAGAACAACATGAGTTACAACAGGAGACGCACACAGGACCATAGACGCACACAGGACCATAGACGCACACAGGACCATAGACGCACACAGGACCATAGACGCACACAGGACCATAGACGCACACAGGACCATAGACGCACACAGGACCATAGACGCACACAGGACCATAGACGCACACAGGACCATAGACGCACACAGGACCATAGACGCACACAGGACCATAGACGCACACAGGACCATAGACTCACACAGGACCATAGACGCACACAGGACCATAGACGCACACAGGACCATAGACTCACACAGGACCATAGACGCACACAGGACCATAGACGCACACAGGACCATAGACGCACACAGGACCATAGACGCACACAGGACCATAGACGCACACAGGACCAAAGACGCACACAGGACCAAAGACGCACACAGGACCATAGACTCACACAGGACCAAAGACGCACACAGGACCATAGACGCACACAGGACCATAGACTCACACAGGACCATAGACTCACAGGACCATAGACGCACAGGACCATAGACGCAAACAGGACCATAGACGCACACAGGACCATAGACGCAAACAGGACCATAGACGCACACAGGACCATAGACTCACACAGGACCATAGACTCACAGGACCATAGACTCACACAGGACCATAGACGCACACAGGACCATAGACGCACACAGGACCATAGACGCACACAGGACCATAGACGCACAAAGGATCATAGATGCACACAGGACCATAGACGCACACAGGACCATAGACGCAAACAGGACCATAGACGCACACAGGACCATAGACGCACAAAGGATCATAGATGCACACAGGACCATAGACTCACAGGACCATAGACTCACAGGACCATAGACACACAGGACCATAGACACACAGGACCATAGACACACAGGACCATAGACTCACAGGACCATAGACACACAGGACCATAGACACACAGGACCATAGACACACAGGACCATAGACTCACAGGACCATAGACACACAGGACCATAGACTCACAGGACCATAGACACACAGGACCATAGACACACAGGACCATAGACTCACAGGACCATAGACACACAGGACCATAGACACACAGGACCATAGACACACAGGACCATAGACACACAGGACCATAGACTCACAGGACCATAGACACACAGGACCATAGACACACAGGACCATAGACTCACAGGACCATAGACACACAGGACCATAGACTCACAGGACCATAGACACACAGGACCATAGACTCACAGGACCATAGACACACAGGACCATAGACTCACAGGACCATGTCGTTGTGTAACCTGTGCATGCACTAAATACACCTCTACAAGAAATGGAGCCTCCTGAAGTGTCCACGTCTCCTCCGTGTCTCTTCCCGAAGTGAAACTAAACTTGCTGAATTAAAGCTCAGGTACCTATACATTTTCCCTTACATTTACAGTTCATGTCGTGCCCAAAAGTAAAATGTTGTGAACAAACAAACAGATGTAATGACAGCCTTTGGCTGACGTTATGTATTCAGACTTTTTTCAAATGTCCCATTCTCATCCCTGTAACCAATTCAATTCAAATCAAAGTATTCTTATATTGCCCTGAATCACAACAGTAGTTATCTCAGAGGACTTAACGGAACTAATGTCGAACGAAAACAATAGTTTTGGTCTGTGGGAGCTCGCTCACTCTGAGGACTGACACGTTTATTACTCTCTTGTAATGTAGACCAATACACATTTTAATTGTTGAAACTGCAGACTTTAGGTGCAAAGGTCTGGAGCTCTGCCTCCCCATGTTTAGTCCTGACTCTGGGCCCGGAGGGAGACCAGGACTCCTCAAAGTCAGAGCTGGTTTACATGGTGCTGACACTTCATAATAATTCATTCATAACCAGTTATTACCCCTATATTTCTTCCTAATTTGTGGAACTTTGAGACAGAGGACAGTTGCAGGTGGCTGTTTCTGCGACCAAAGGCTTCAGTTTTGTCTGAGTAGATCTGGAGGAACATGTGTTTCCTCCATGTCTTGATCTGTTTGATCAATAATTGTATCTAGCCCTTGATATCTGAAATCAGGTCGGTCACAATTACAAATATAAATGTACAAAACATTGTTTCAGAAAAATTACTTTATGCCCACATGGAACAATACTGCAGGGTATTCTCATGGAAAACACAAAAACGATAAGTCCATTCCATTTTCTTCCGCTTCATCCATTGCCATGTTGCAGGGTAGCAGTCTAAGCCAACAACAAGTCGATAAACCCTAATCCTAACCCAGACCTTTTTGAAATTAAGATAGTAAAGACATGCTTCCTCTCTTTGCCTTGTGAGTCCAATCTTTATTCAATTACTTTAGAAAAATACAAGCTGTCCAAGTATTTACACTTCCCCGGGTTGTTAGTCGGTATACGGCTCAAATTGGCCAAAATAATGAATCCGCCTGACTCTCATTTAGCATGTGAAGCACAGACATCACATAACAGTTTGTCGCTTTGAGTGGCCTCTAATGATGCACTGGAAAAGGGGCGGTCCACTTGGCACATTTATCTCTGTCACTTCTGATTGTGGAGGCTGTGTGGAGATGCAAAGGGCTTACATAATGCTTCTGTTGTCATTGTTAAGTCATGGACGTTGGCAGTACAGGCTGCAAGCTTCATTCACAAAAAACTAAATCTTCCGTTTCCTTTTTCAAATAATAACTGTTGTTGTATTCATGGTTGTGTTTTAGAGTTTTACATTTGAACTTTCTGGCTGTCATCCATGTTATTCAGCAGAGTAAACACATTACACAGGTCTGTACTGGCCCGGAGGTGTTTTATTTTCCTGTTTCTTTCTACCTTGTAGGCTTTCTCACAGTAGGAACTTTTATTATGCCTTACAGATTCAGATTCAGATTCATTTATTTGCCATTTGCAGTAAAACCACAAACTGTGCAAGACTCCCCCAGTGTGCACTCTTTTCTTTATTCTTTACCTCTCTCTTCTGACTGATGAACTGAGCCAAAGCCATTTCTGTTACTTACGTGGCAATAAAAATAATTCTGATTCTCAACGATATGGGGAAAAGTCATACCATGACATTCATACCAGATATCTCTATCCATACAGTGCAATGTGCAGGTGAACCTCAGAAAATGTAAATATTGTTCAAAAGTCTATTTACATACAGTATGCCAAGCCCTATCTATCTATCTGTCTATTTGTCTAACTATCTATATCTATCTATCTATCTGTCTGTCTGTCTGTCTGTCTGTCTAATTGGTTCACAGCTTGTAAAAAGAACTCAAACAAATTAGAATATTTTGATATAAGCCAAAATACTGTTTCATATTTTATTTTAAAAAAACATAATCTAGGTATACGTCATACGGTCTTCATATTAGTTTCATATTTTAGGTTGAAATACAGACAAGAAATAACTTTTTACTGTAACAATATGGGTTCAAATCTCAATAATCATGCCAGATATAATCCCAGTTGGAACAGGGTCTTCAGCATGTTTGCATGTGCTTCTTGTGTCTGCATAGGTTTCCTCCGGGTGCTCCGGTTTCCCCTACCACTAAAACATGCTAAATCCTTCAGATCATTTAGTCCTGATCAAGCGGAGCATCAATATCTGACACCTGGGAACCCACTGCTCTTGATAGACATTTACCAGGATGGGTCAAATGCAGAGGACAAAAGGGGATAAATGAAGAGGACATTTTTCTTTCTAACTATGGATTGAATAAAAGCCATGCATTCTTCAGACAAACTCCCGCCTAAACCTAACCCTGTGTTTGTCGTTGGTTAGATACAGCTGCCGATCAACACGGTTCAATAAAGGTTTGTGGTTTGCTCACTGTGGGAGCGAAAGTCGAGTAATCATGAAAATGTGTTTCGTTGTGACAGCTGTATGTGCAGGGCTGAAACAGACAAACATCATATTTGTCAGAGATGCATAAAAGTCTCTGGACCCGCAAGTCCAAGTCATGTCATTTTAATAATTTTAAAGCCTTTTACTGTCATTTTTAATTAGTTTTTAGCTTCCTAACTCTATCCTATGTTTGTATGATTGTATGATTGCAATGCTTCCTTTGGGATCAATAAAGTATGTAACTATCTATGTTCAAGTCTCATATATGGATTTAAATATGCAATCCATTTAAAAAAGCACTAACAGACAGGACTGTGATTTCCAGCTTGAGAAGAGAGAGAAAAACACACATAACACGTGATTTCTTTATATGTACATTTAGACATCATTTTGCATGGCCCTCCACCGCTTGGCTCATTTTTGTATGACTGGTCACTGTTGAAGAAGGATTTTTAGCACCGGGAATTCTCACAAACATCACATTTGAAGTGGTGTCAAGATGCACTGTGTGAAAAGTGGTACACACGACTCCAGCTGAACATGATGTGGTAACGCAGAGGCAGTGTGTGCGTGGATGTGGTCAAGCTGCGTGACTCAAATTAACCACAGAACATTACTGCTTCTCTCATTTTGATGTAGGCGGTTATTGTGAAGTCATAAATGGAAAGCATGTATCTCTCACGAAGAAGAGAAGAAGCCTGGCTGGATAAGATAAGATATGATAGACTTTTTTGATCTCACACAAGAGAAATCTACATTTGGCTCAGATAGAATCACTCAGATTGTGCAACATGTAAAAGGTTAAAAAATGTAGTCTGTGCAGGATATAATTATGTACAATCAAAAAATTGCAGGTTTTTTTCAATATTAGTGCATTAGTGACTAAAAGTGACTTATCAGACGTCATGTTTGATTATTTGCATGATTATAAAGCAGTATATGTTTTTCTTTTGGGGATTTTCTAAGATGTAGGATGCTTAAAGTAGAGGCGACAGTAGCTCAGTTGAAGAGCATTGGCCTTTGAGCCTGAAGGTCGTGGGTTTGAGTCCGCAGCAAGACCTTCTCCACCAACTCCCACTGCTGTCGTTATGTCCTTGGGCAAGACACTTTACCCCACTTTGCCTACAAGAAGCGCGGATGTGTACAGTCTGTGCTGCATGCCTTGATGTGATGAGTTTATGACAATACATCGAACCAAATTTCTCCATTATGAGATCAATAAAGTATATTTTCTTCTTATTATCGGCTCAAAAGGTGATCTGCCAAAACTGTTGAGGGTTAAATTAAAGGGTCAAACTGGCATCTACAAAAACGCTTCCTTTAAACATAATCATTGATTAAAAAAAAATGTCTTTACTGTTTTTTCAACTGGTCTCTTTTTGATTCTCTGATGACTGCGGACAACTGCATTCTCGCTTCTCAGCTAGAAGGTCCTGGGTTCGAATCTCGGCCAGAACGGGGCCTTTCTGAGTGGAGTTTGCATGTTCTCCCTGTGTCTGCGTAGGTTTTCTCCGGGTGCTTCGGTTTCCCCTACCACTAAAAACATGTACAATAGGTCTGTGCCTCCTCTCTGTGTGGAGTCAGAGACAAATGCCCACAATTGTCTGTGAAAGGCGCTACATAAATAAATATTACTTACTTACTAACTACTGTTGTGATTTAGGGCAATGCAAAAACACATTGAATTGAATTAAATACATTTTGGGGAAAGGTCACAACTGCACCTCTGCAACTCTGTCATTTGAGCTTGGCTTGGAGTGTAGTTAGTGTTAGGGATGGGACAACACTGCAAGTTCACATCCGTCAATCCATTTTCTTCCCCTTAATCCATTTCTGTGACTTGGGTGGCAGTCAGAGATGCCACCCAAGTCACAGAGCACCAGCCCCTCACTGATCCTCCTGCAGGTGCTGAGTCCACAGGAGCAAGTTTACATAATAAGTTTAATCAAAATGCCCTTGATCTAGTGTATTATTGACAATGCTTTTGTGGTTAAAGGGCCAATCAAGAGCAAGAGTGAGTTTGAGGCGCACATCCAAGTCTGAGTAGTGTGCAAAAAGTCAATGTGACGTTTTGGTTGACATGAAATAAAGCAGGCTACACAGGCTATATACAGTGATGACAGGTCACGTGACTAACTCGATGTAAAGTTTAAATACATGTGTCATCAAAACATGTAATTGATGAAGTGTATAGCCCCCCTGAGATGTGAAGAGACACCACAGCACAATAATACATCCAAAGTACAACCAAAATGTACTGATATATACTGTACTCAATGCTGTTCATGATGAATAATGTTGTCTATCTGTGCCTATACATAAACATCCTAAAACTTTTGGAACCTATATGAAAACGTGCTGACAACATCCTCACATTTCCTGGGCAGTGGGCGTCACTGCTTCTTCTTCTATGTCAGAGAACCACAGAACATAAAGGATCTATAGATACAGATCATGGCTGTTTCCTGCCTGTGTGCTCACGGCAGAGTACAGTGTAGTATAGTGTAGTACAGTGTAGTATAGTGTTACAAGGATGTCCAGATATGTCTCAAATCAATATGGGACCTGTTCATGTGGAGTCCTGTGCTGTTTCTGTAGAGTCCTGTGAGTCTTGTGTGAACTTGAGAAGGCTGTGGTTTAATCCAGCCACGTCGGCATGCACTTCCAAATCCATTGTCTTGCAACTGTTTCCACTCACGCATGTAGGAAAATGAGCTGTTCTCCATGCAGCTGATGTTAGACCAGGATTTGCATACGAAACGTGTTGCCTACATGTTAAGAGTAGACTAAACCGTAGTTATGAAGCATTATAGTGTTAAAGCAAACTCGTTCTCCAGTGAGGAGCGCGCCTCTCATTCAAGTCTATTGTATAAGTGCTGCTGGGTCTCTACTGTACGGAACTCAAGCCGCCTCTGCCACCATTATAATCCCAGTATAGTCTTTTCACACACTTTTGATTGAATCTTTAAAAGTTAAAATGTGCAAAGCTTTCTATAAAGTGAGGAGAAAATATCACACTCACCAATAATGATGGCACATGCGCTCAAAAGTCCGATCTCTTTCTTCAAAGTGACTCTGTCGCCTTTAGAGGCGTCAGTATCCCTTCTTTTCTCTGTATCCTCCATCTGCCCCACCACAGTCCCAGCAGCCGGTCCAGATACAGTCTTCTGAACAGCCTCCTCTCTCCACCCAGTCCTTATAACGGCACTGAAGGGCGGAGCGTCTGCGCAGGCGCAAACCACCACCCCGCGAAGCCCACCTGTGCTCAGGTACATTATTTACGGTCTATCGGTATAACACAGTCAATAATAATCTTATTACATTATTACTGTGCTGGTATTGGTATACTCAAGCAAGGAGAATAGATATATAAGTTTTAGAATAATGTAAAATAAGAAAAACATGACATAATTATTTGTGTGTTATTGGCAGCTCTGCTTCAATCAGTCTGACCACAGCACCTGTGACTATTAACATATTCCCATTAACATATTTAATTAACATAATACCATTAACATATCACCACTGTGTATGGGGTGAAAGAATAACCTATGCAATTGTAAAGCACCTTTATAGGAAGTATACCTTTGCTACACCTGCATGTGAAAGCCCTGTCCAATCAGATCTCTGAAGCTAAGCAAGGCAAGACCTGGTCAGTACTGAGATGGGAGTCCTCTGGGAACAGCAGGTGTCACAGTGGAGTGGCTGCGACTCTAAAGAACCATATTTTCTTTGTGGCCGTGGGTAAAATTGACCTCCCACATTACAGAATATGACTCCGTGCATAAGGATTGACAGTGGAGGAGCTGATGTCTTGGATTAGTAACCTTTCTTCTGTCGGCTCCATGGCTGCTGTAACTATAGAAGTAATTTACCACCACTGTGTATGGAGTGAATGATTAATGCCATGTGAAGCTGTGAATGTGGATGAGCTGTATATTTAACTGGGGTTGGAGACAGCAAAAACACAATGATAAATCTACAAACAGCTATAGTCTTTGTGGCAGTCCTATCCTGCTGCACTTACAGGAGACCCACGTTCCTCTTTATCTACACTTTAAGGAGTTAATTTGTAAAGTTGTGTGCCGGGCAAATGGTAACGAGTACACAATGGACTTGGAAGCTGTCCCCGCTTTATAAAAGGAGGCCCAGACTTCGAGAGATGGTTTGTTGGCATCGGAAAGGTCAACTCAAACACTGGCTTTGGTGTGAACTTAGGCCAGATGAGAAGAAGACATCACAAGAATCACTGAAAACATCTGAAAGAGAGAGGAAGGAAGGGAGACTGTGGACAAGGTTTTAAAACTAAAGAAACAAGGAACAGTTTTAAGCCTTGGCACAATTCTTTAAAGGAGCAGTATGTAAAAGTCTGGCCAAAAGTGGTACTGCACTCTCTCTGACTCAGGTTGCCAGATATGCAGATGAATCCAGCTGGGACCATAGTATCTGAATAAAGAGTTTTGTAATCTATAACCAACACTTTTTTCACAAAGATAGAAATCCTTTGACATGAAAATCTTACATATTGCTACTTTATAGGTAGATTGTTAAAACACAAGTAATTCTATTTTTCCCCTAAACTTTATAGTTACCATTTTGTCATATATTTGAGGCAAAGCAGCTAAAATTACCACAGATAATTGGTTGTTTTGCGCCTTTCTCAGTACCAACAAAACACTGAAGCATGAATGTGTATCTAGATTTCTCTCCTTAGGTTAAAGAGATGTATTGAGCGGGCGAAAGATGTTTGTGAGGGAAAGACAAAGAACGTGAACATGAATCAGAAAAGACAGTCTTCCCTTTGACCACTTGTGTCCTCTTCAGTGCAGTGAGGGCTCTCTGCGGCGCTGGGCTTACTGCCTCCACTGCACCACACTTGTTTACAGCAAACTCTGAGTTCTTGTATCTGAGGTGAGAGCTGCATGGCAACCTCACTACACTTCCTCTGAGACCGGAGGGTTCAGCGCTGGGGTTACCAACCTGTAGCTCGGGAGTTACCAGTAGCTTTCCACCCTCTTTCAGGTATTGCTCCTCATAGAAAGTAGCAAATCAAATATGTTGAACATTCCAGAACCAGAATGATGATCACAAATATGTATAATATATTTGTGATATACGGGCGACAGTGGCTCAGTTGGTAGAGCGTTGGCCTTTGAAGAAGAAGACTTTCACCATCAACTCCCACTGTCTGCTGTCGTTGTGTCCTTGGGCAAGACACTTAACCTCCGGGATCACCAGGTGCCACAGTGGGGCGGCTGCGGCTGTAAAGTGCCAAACTGCCGTTGTGTCCTTAGGCAAGACACTTCACCCCCATTGCCTAGAATGGGTCTGGTGTGTGTGTGAATGGTTGGTGGTGGCACAGACTGGTTGCCTCTCCTCTGTCAGTGTGCCCCAGGGCAGCTGTTTGGAGTGAATGAATAATGACATTTAAAGCGTCTTTAAGTGTCCAAAAAGGCGCTATATAAAACCAATGCATTATTATTATTATTATTATAAATGCTTACTTTGACACTCGTAATACATATGTCATGATAAATGCACTCTGTTTGATAATGGCTGTGCCCAAACCCCACAATGGATACATCGGTTGATACAGAGTAGCCATTTTTGTCCAAAGTAAGTGTATACCATGGATCTATAACAATAACGGTGTGTACCCCTCCAAAGGAAACAGGGGTGTGTTTTCTGCCCTCCACCATTGACACTCAAGGAGCCATCACAGCTGGTTACGCTTAATGTGGAGGAGCAGGGGTTCTATTCCAAGCTCATCCAATTTGAGTGAGTTCCTCATCCTACAGGGAAGCCTCACTGAGGAAACCCATTTCAACGTCTTCTATCTGCCATCTTTATGATTGAAGCTCATGACATTATAGGACTTTACAATAGTTGTAGAATAGATTTATTTTTTTCACTGACCAAGTACTATCTCTTCAAACTTTATATATTAATCTGGTATCTGGAATATGTTAGGGAATTACACAGACATTAGTTGGAAATAACTCTGCAGTCTCAAAGTGAGGTGAAAGAATAAAAAAATTAAACGCTGCAAGGACTTACTTACTTACTAATATATAACAAATACAACAAAACCATAACCTATTTGTCGCAATAAGAGTTTTTTGGAAAGAAAAACAAGTGTACATTGGTTTTCACATTAGAAAAGATCTTAACTCATAAGGAGCTTAGAGGAGAACAGAGGTCAACCTGTCCCGTGCACAGACTTTTGAATGTTGATGTTTTCGCCATTTATATTGTAAAATGTAAAATGCAGCCGGAAGATTGTTTCATAAATCATTTCCTCTTTTTTGTCTTGAAATCTTAATTTAAATGGACTGTAAATTATTGTTGTTGTTAGTTTTGTTTTCACTGCAGGTCTTACTTTCGGCTCATTAGCTGGACAAACATTCTCACAGTGAAACAGCAATAGCGCCATCTGGTGTCCGCAGAGGCATAATGCAGCTTTAAAGGGGGATTGTGTTTTCCTTATAGGACTTACTCCTTACTTGCCATCAACCTAAATCGTTAGTCACATTCTAAATTAAAATGCTGAATGACTGTTTCTGGTAAAAACAGCTCTAAAACCAAACCCTCTGAAAAGTGGATAGTTCTTTACTTTGGCGTCCGGCCGGTTCTGAAACTGACCAAACCAGATCTCCCTCCTCTGCCCGGGATCATTTACAGCTGATACTCACACAACCAACAAAATGCATTGTGAAGGAAGTAAAACGAGGAGGTTACGCCTAGATACTGTGTTTATTATAATCCTATTTATGTTCAGTGTTGGAATGGTTGTTTTATAGAAAGATTAAATCCATAGTTTATCCAATGTCCTTTTAAGACACATGTACAAATAATAAATGCCTCAAAATGTTAATTGATTGATTCTTGATTTGATGATGGCCACATTGGTTAAATAGCAAATTATATAATCAGAAAGCAGAATAAGCCTCTAGTTTGGTTTGCGAGTGTCTTTAAATAATAATCTATTCAAGTGAACCAAAAGGAAGCATTAAGGATTATTATGTAGAATTGTGAAAATGTACCTTTGTCTTTAAGTGTGCAATAACCCCACATTTCTATGATGTCGATATATTATTATTGTTGATTCAGACTAATAATAACGTATACAGAAGCTTAAAATCAGTCATAGCCTCTCTTCCATACTTTAGATTAGCCGAATAATATCATAATAATATCCTGCTTGATTTGGTGAAGCAAACATATGTTTTATTGTCTATAACACTTTATTATTGTTTTGCTGGAGATGTTCTATTCACTTTCCAGATAAATTAAAACACATTGAAGTGAGTGAAAGGAGCAGTGGACCAAAGAACTAATATTATATAACATGTAAAGATGCAGTGTAGGGCTGAAACCGACCAAAAAAACTAAAATCTATTGTGTATCTGACCTGAACACTCCCAATGCTTTAGGGTTAGGGTTAAAATACAAGTCACAAAAACATTTCTATCAATGACATTTTGATTCCACTTGTTTAGAGTTTGATCCAAATAAAATTCACAAAATACACCAAATGTGCTCCTTATTTGCGCCATGTGTTTTTGCTATTCTGCCTATAAATTAATGACACCATAAATAAGAAAGTATTCGTCCCCCACTCTCATTATCGCACATGACACTGAATAAAAAGAGAAGTCAAACAATATGATTAAACAGCAATAAAATACAGACATTTTTGTTTATTTCTCCATGTAATACATTTCTTATACTTTATTTTTGAGTTTTTACTTTTAGAATTAAAGTGGTCAGAATGTAATTGTTCAAAAACACAAAAAGGCAACACTTATAATGCAAACGAAAAGATAAAAAAATATATATATCTAAATATAAAAAATGAAAAGAAAAAAGAAAGTAAAAGAAAAAAAAAAGAAAAAGACAAAGAAAAAAAGGAAAAGAAAAAAAATGGAGAAAAATATAATAATAAAATGTATGTAAAGATAGAATAAAGAAGAAAAAAATATATAAAACAAATGTATTAATAATAATAATAATAATAATAATACTATCAATAAACTAAAGAGGCAAAATAAAGTTTTTAAAAGCATCTCCGTGAAATTCAAATCGACTAACTCATTTGTGGTCGACGAAAAGCAGTAATCGAAGCCTGAGGTCCAGGCTCGCGGTGCGCGGAGGGGGCGGGGCCTGAGCAGAGCAGGAAAAGTCTCTGGTCTCCTGCAAACCCTGATCCCAGAGCCAGAGCCACTGCAGAGGACGAAGGACCAGGCGATCACCTGCTGCACGGAAGCCCGGGACTTTACCAAACGATTACGACTCTTTCTGTCCGTCACGGCCTGTAAACGTCTCCATAAATCATGACAGACGCGCTTTTACCGAACGGGATTAAAGACGGCGGAGGGGAACGCAGCTACTTCAAAAAGGTATGTGTCTCCTTTGAGGAAGCGAAAAGTGACACTATAATAACAAACGCACACTCCATGGAAGGACACTGCTGATTTTTTATTGAATTAACCTTTTTAATAGTTTCCTTAATCATTTGGTAGATTGACACCTTTGAGTCCACTGCTGAAAATTAGAAAATACCCGTAGGAACCTGGGTCTAATGGGAATCTGGACCATTTCAAAACTCAAATAGAAACCTCGCTTGGAAACCATTAGGGCAGCTCCATTAGGTCTCATTAGAACATCACGACAAGAAACCATTAGAATAACAACATTAGACACCATTTTTATATCTACTTTAAGCTTTGAACTTAAATCTATCACTTGATTTTAGGAACGTTTACCATCAAACTGCATCTCAACCATTTGGTAAAGAGCTATAACTTCAAAAACTAGAGGTTCAAGTACACAAAACACATCAAAAAAACAAAATATGTGTGTCATGAGGGCTCCTACATCTTTAAAAAATCTAAAAAAGAAAAAAAATACACAGCTTTCTCCACTGAGCAATCTTTAAAGGGTTAAACTCTATTTGAATAGACTTTGCATAGAATTTTCTTTTAATAAATATGCTTGTTTTCTGTTATTCATTTGCGTGGATGTGACTAGACTGGAACTACTTCTTTTCCACTTATTGGCCCTACAAGTTTTCTTCAAAAACTTAAAAAAATGTGGTGTGTATGAGGGAGCCACAGCCCGGAGAGCTGCCATACTCAGGTGTCGCTGTGTGTTTTGGTGTGTGGTCCTGTGTGTGTTGGGACAATAATAGTTTTATCTCCTGCGGTGAAACTGAAAGGCTCCAGCAGGCCGTCTTACATTCAGCTTATCTCCTTCCTCACAGGGACGATGCCATTGACAGCTCATTAGAAGGTTTCGTGTGTGTGTCTGTGGAAATTCTTTTTATAGACGTACATAGTGCCAGACTGGACCGATGTTTTTAGTAGAAATGGGATAATCATTTACACTAGAAATACAAATCACACTAATGACATGTCTAATGTTTTTAGTGGTCTTGTGGTTGCTTTGAAGATTAAATGCAGATGTAAGCAATAACAATACAGATCTTAACTAGAGATTAAAGTAGCGATAGGTAAGATTTTCATGTCATGTCATCATTAAAGGGCCGTAATCTGTCATCATTAAAGGGCCGTAATATGTCATCATTAAAGGGCCCTAATCTGTCGTCATTAAAGGGCACTAATCTGTCGTCATTAAAGGGCCCTAATCTGTCGTCATTAAAGGGCACTAATCTGTCGTCATTAAAGGGCCCTAATCTGTCATCATTAAAGGGCACTAATCTGTCGTCATTAAAGGGCCCTAATCTGTCATCATTAAAGGGCCCTAAACTGTCATCATTAAAGGGCCCTAATCTGTCAAAAGTCATTAATAAAACCTGTTCTTTTCCAATACTTCTTTAACTGATAACAGTAGTTCAGAGATATTTGGATTTCTAAATAACTTTTCCAGCCTCTAAATCTTGTTATTGTTTTCATTTCGATGTCCCGCCCTCCACCGTTTCACCAATCAAAGTGTTGCCAGAACTCACCGCGTGGAGCTAATCTCACTGGTAAAGTACCAGAGAAGGCCATAGAACTAACAAAAGGTCTTTATGATTCTTAAATCATTAACGACAAAACAAGGAATAAAATCAGGATTTCTATCTTTGTGAGAAATGTTTTTGCCTATTCTACTTGTCTATTCAGCTGTTATGGTCCCAGCTGGATTCGTCTGCATATCTGGCAACCTGAGTCAGGGAGAGTGGGAGAGGCTGCAGTACCACTTTGGGCCACATTTTGACATACTGCTCCTTTAAAACATCTTAGTGGCATTTATATCCTGACGTCCGTATTCTGTACTGTTGTCCTCATCCACAGTATTTTGTTGTTGTTATGAAATGGTAAGTTTAGAAGTGTATCTGAACTACAGTCTATGATCTGAATTTTTTTTTAAACCCTGTGAATTCCGCTGCAGCTGTCTGGACCTCAGCTCCTGGTGCACTTCCTGTGTCTGTAAAAATGTCAGTGGGAGCAGGTCCGGTTCTGCTGCAGGCTATGTATGTACTCTAAGTTCAAGAGTGGGGTCACAATATTAAAAATACAAAGTCAATAAGACTCTATACATATCCAATCCACTTTATTTATATTGCACATTTTTATAAAACTAGTTTCCAAAGTGCTGCACAGAGGTAAAATCAACACTTTTAAATATACAGGTTTGCCAGCTTTATATTTTTTAATAAATATAAGTAAGACATTATGCACAAAGTAAAAACAATAAATTACCAATCAAAAATAAAGATTTAATAAAACCAAAATACCAGTTAACAGTAAATATGTGTAAAAACAATAAAATACCAGTTATCCAATTTAAAATACAAAACTAAAAACCATAAAATAGATAAAACAGAAGCGAGTACCAACAATTCTTATTAAATGATTCTAACATTAATAATAATAAATACCACTTAATGAACTTTCTCCACAGTTTATTCTTACATCTCTGTCTTTCACTGTAAAACACATTAGTCTTCATTTCCACCATAGACACAGAATGAAAAGCATTGCACATTTTCTCAAACCACAACTTTTCTCCAGATTGACCATGTTAAAGAGGTTTGGCCTCATTTAACTCCCTGTAGCATGGATTGGCCTCGTGCTCGGGGCCCATCTCTTTGGTGAAAATTATGTTAATGATTTACACGAGTTGCTCTTGCTTTGAGGAGCTGTGGTGGGTTTTTGGGGCTCTCTTCCAGCCGTCCACGGTTTCAGGTCCTGGCTGAGGTCCTGGCTGAGGTCCTGGCTAAGGTCCTGGCTAAGGTCCTGGCTGAGGTCCTGGCTGAGGTCCCTGGCTGAGGTCCTGGCTGAGGTCCTGGCTGAGGTCCACCTGCACGGCTGCAGAATGGAAACATGGCTCAGGAGAAAGCCGAATCGGCATGTTCCTCTGGCCAATGAGGCATTGACGTAGAAGCGAGCCAGAGGCTGAGCTGCCGCGGACCACAGACACAAATTGACAACATGTGTCCAGGTTCTCAGAGCCGCATGGATGTGCACACACACACACACACACACTGTAATCCCACAGTGGGCCGGGCTTTAAACTTCAGTACAGTCTGGACCATTATATTTTGTAACACAGAATATTCCAAACACATTGAAATGTATTGTATAATAATTATATAATGTGTTGAAATCATATTGAAGTTGTGATTACGCAACGGTCAAGTCATTTGTTGAGCCCCTCTTTGTGTTGTCCTAATGAAGGGTTGTGTACCGCTGAGAAAGGCCGCTCTGTGAGCCTTTCACCGAGCTCCTGTTTACGGGGATCGACAGAGTCTGTTACGTACCATGAGCAAAACAGACAGACCCACAATCTAAGAGACCAAATATTCAAACGGTGTATTTTTACCACATCAGAGAGAGCTGACTCAGAAATGTCCTTTTGCCCGTATGACTTTATTATTAGGGAATTCTCAATATGTCTTTTATTTGTGAAGTGGTTAATGATTAGGCTGGCAGCAGAGAGCAGGAAGCTTTGGGAATGTACTCTGGGCTACAGTAAATGCGACTTTGTGTTGTCATTTTGTGTTTTTGTTGTGAACAATGAAATGCAGAGATGTCTTTGATCTGAGACGATGTGAGCTTTCACACACAACAACTTTTAATTATCTTTTTTTGTTGTCTTTGCATGAGACAAATGGCTTGTCAATGTGTTTTAAGTGTAATAAACTTAACACTCCTCAAACTGAAAGCCTGAGGTTTTGCTTTAAGATAAGAATTCCTTTATTCGTCCCACAGTGGGGAAATGTCGTTGTTGCAGCACACATATAGGACAGTAGTAAGAGCACACAGGGAGCACACACAATCACACAATATATACAAAATTAGCAGTAGGTATGTTTATTAGCTAACATAACTAGCTGTAGATGCTGGAAATGCTTCAATACCAGTCAAAAAATATATATATGTAGTAGTGCAGTTATATACTGTACAGTTAAATAGTGCAGGATAATAAGTAGATAAAGTAAAGTGACATGAGGTAAAGAGACAATGTCACTTTTGCTTTATTGTTACATGACTCATGATAATTATGACTTTTGGGGGAAACACTTTGCGGTGAATGTTCAATAACATCACAACGATGAAGTGACTTTCGGTTTGAACTAAGTAATGTAGTTATAGAGATTATTTTACTAAAATGTATAGGGACACAGTAACTGGATATAATAATCATTTCACCCTAGAGCCGTAGAGAACAGTAGCAGGGCTCCGTTGGGACTCCAATATTTTGTTGTTATCTGAGTTTTTTGTAGTAAATGATTAACTAACCATGACGTGGAGCTTGTCACGCTCTGTAACACGCTCTGTAACACGCTCTGGAACATGCTCAGGAACACTGTAACACGCTCTCTAACACGCTCTGTAACACGCTCTGTAACACCCACTGTAACACGCTCTGGAACACTGTAACACGCTCTGTAACACGCTCTGTAACACGCACTGTATCACGCTCTGTAACACGCTCTGGAACACGCTCTGGAACACGCTCTGAAACACGCTCTGTAACACGCTCTGTAACACGCACTGGAACACGCTCTGTAACAAGCTCTGTAACACGCTCTGTAACAAGCTCTGTAACACGCTCTGGAACACGCTCTGGAACACGCTCTGTAACACGCTCTGTAACACGCTCTGTAACCAGCTCTGTAACCAGCTCTGTAACACGCTCTGGAACACGCTCTGGAACACGCTCTGGAACACGCTCTGGAACACGCTCTGTAACACGCTCTGTAACACGCTCTGTAACACGCTCTGTAACACGCACTGGAACACGCTCTGTAACAAGCTCTGTAACACGCTCTGTAACAAGCTCTGTAACACGCTCTGGAACACGCTCTGGAACACGCTCTGTAACACGCTCTGTAACACGCTCTGTAACACGCTCTGTAACCAGCTCTGTAACCAGCTCTGTAACACGCTCTGGAACACGCTCTGTAACACGCTCTGTAACCAGCTCTGTAACGCGCTCTGTAACCAGCTCTGTAACCAGCTCTGGAACACGCTCTGGAACACGCTCTGTAACACGCTCTGTAACACGCTCTGGAACATGCTCTGTAACACGCTCTGGAACACGCTCTGGAACACGCTCTGGAAGACGCTCTGGAACACGCTCTGGAACACTCTCTGGAACACGCTCTGTAACACGCTCTGTAACACGCTCTGTAACACGCTCTGTAACACGCTCTGGAACATGCTCTGTAACACGCTCTGGAACATGCTCTGTAACACGCTCTGGAACACGCTCTGGAACACGCTCTGTAACACGCTCTGGAACACGCTCTGGAACACGCTCTAGAACACTTTCTGGAACACGCTCTGGAACACGCTCTGTAACACGCTCTGGAACACGCTCTGTAACACGCTCTGTAACACGCTCTGGAACACGCTCTGGAACACGCTCTAGAACACGCTCTGTAACACGCTCTGGAACACGCTCTGTAACACGCTCTGTAACACGCTCTGTAACACGCTCTGGAACACGCTCTGGAACACGCTCTAGAACACGCTCTGTAACACGCTCTGTAACACGCTCTGGAACACGCTCTGGAACACGCTCTGGAACACGCTCTGGAACACGCTCTAGAACACGCTCTGTAACACGCTCTGTAACACGCTCTGTAACACGCTCTGGAACACGCTCTGGAACACGCTCTGGAACATGCTCTGTAACACGCTCTGTAACACTCTCTGGAACACGCTCTGTAACACGCTCTGGAACACGCTCTGTAACACGCTCTGTAACACGCTCTGTAACACGCTCTGGAACATGCTCTGTAACATGCTCTGGAACACGCTCTGGAACACGCTCTGTAACACGCTCTGGAACACGCTCTGTAACCAGCTCTGTAACACGCTCTGTAACACGCTCTGTAACACGCACTGGAACACGCTCTGTAACAAGCTCTGTAACACGCTCTGTAACACGCTCTGTAACAAGCTCTGTAACACGCTCTGGAACACGCTCTGGAACACGCTCTGTAACACGCTCTGTAACACGCTCTGTAACACGCTCTGTAACCAGCTCTGTAACCAGCTCTGGAACACGCTCTGGAACACGCTCTGGAACACGCTCTGGAACACGCTCTGTAACACGCTCTGTAACACGCTCTGTAACCAGCTCTGTAACACGCTCTGTAACACGCTCTGTAACACGCACTGGAACACGCTCTGTAACAAGCTCTGTAACAAGCTCTGTAACACGCTCTGTAACAAGCTCTGTAACACGCTCTGTAACACGCTCTGGAACACGCTCTGGAACACGCTCTGGAACACGCTCTGGAACACGCTCTGTAACACGCTCTGTAACACGCTCTGGAACACGCTCTGTAACAAGCTCTGTAACACGCTCTGTAACAAGCTCTGTAACACGCTCTGGAACACGCTCTGTAACAAGCTCTGTAACACGCTCTGGAACACGCTCTGTAACACGCTCTGTAACACGCTCTGTAACACGCTCTGTAACACGCTCTGGAACACGCTCTGGAACACGCTCTGTAACACGCTCTGTAACACGCTCTGGAACACGCTCTGGAACACGCTCTGGAACACGCTCTGTAACACGCTCTGGAACACGCTCTGGAACCAGACGGGTTTGGCTGAGATCACTGCATCATGTGGCCTTTGGTGCATTGTGCTCCACAAACCACACCTTCAGTGACTCACTCTGCACAAATTTTAGGTTTCAACTTAATTGTTGTTGATGAAATGTTGACTTGGGACGGCTGCTGACAACACAGTGACCACCGGCTGCGTGTGGAGAAGACGATATGGAATAAATGCTGATGATTGAACATGTCTTGGCCGTTGGACAGTACAATATCTATGAATGTACTGTCTCTTTAAGCAGATCTGTCAGTGGAACTAAAACTATTCCCCTGCTGTGCTCAGGCGGCTAATAATACTTGTCTATAATTTATTCGAAGCATACAATCAGGTGTACAGTATGATTTAAACAATTTCAGAGTATGTGTTGTTTTGAGGCCCGTGCGAACAAAAATGGCTTACAAATAATTATAGTTTTGCAAATTGCTGAAATTGCAATTCTGATGGATTTCTCTCTCGCAGCTCGAGAGAGAAATCTGTATTTTAAATTTAAAACTCCTCAATGAAACACTGCTCAATGGTGTTTGGTCAGAAATGTGGTCTTCATGTTGTGTTTCTCCAACACTGTAGTAATAGTAATCTAGTAATAGTAATCTTTATTTATATACCACCTTCTCACTGCACATCGGAGTCTCAAAGCAGTTTACAATTGTGATTTTTGGGAGTGGGGCCAGTACAGGAGGCACATGCCAGACCTATTGTACATATTTTTAGTGGTAGGGGAAACCGGAGCACCCGGAGGAAACCTACGCAGACACGGGGAGAACATGCAAACTCCACTCAGAAAGGCCCTGGTCCAACCGGGATTTGAACCCAGGACCTTCTTGCTGAGAGGCGAGAGTGCTATCCACTCAGCCACCGCGCCGCCCGCACTGTAGGGCTCTAACTTGAATGATGACTTGATGATTAGATGTTTGGATCAGAAAAGGCCCATTATATAAATTTCCATTTTATTTTACAACTCTGCGTGGGTCATAAACCTCCTCATCCACCCATTACCCGATTACTAAAATATCTGAACTACAGTATTTCAGAAATCAATCAGTTACGATTAGTCCGATCTTGTTTCAGCCCTGATCGTGTTTGTACGGTTTTTTGTTAATATCACGTTAACTGTTTGTTTTGTCCTAGGGATGTAACCCATTTGCACAGACTGGAAGAAGCAAACTGCAAAACCAGCGGGCCGGTCTGAACCAGCAGATCATCAAGCAAATGCGGCTACGGGCCGGAGCTGAGAACCTGCTCAAGTAAGTGTAGAGAAAAACTGTTTTCAAATGCTGTGATAATGACAAGAGACTTAACATGAACGTAAACGTACTCGTCTCATTATGATGGTTTTGGCACCGATGTGATTTTGGAGTGATTCCACCACCACGCTAGCCTGGTCTTACCACACCATTGTACTAATTTCATTTCCTGCCTAGGTCTGGATTGTCTCCATTGAGTCCGTTAACAGGTGGGAGGGGCTAACTCCTTTTGCAGATTGAAACCATTGGATCTGAGTTTACCGTGACGTTTGTAATGAGCCCGAGTGAGTGAGGCATTTAGCAGTTAGCCTAGCTTTAGCATTTAGCCTAGCTTTAGCATTTAGCCTAGCTTTAGCCATCTCCTTTGCCACTAATGAAGCCCTTTGGGAGTAGAGCCACAACATTTTTGAAGCGATGACAGTTGCTAAACATTCCTTTTGCTCCGGCTTCAGTTTCTTGATATTTGGAGCCGGATATATTGGATTTTTGATTGTGTTATTAATTATTTATTTCCTTTTATCAAACAAGGATAGTCCCAATGAGATTCAGAATAATCTTTTCTTGGTAGAGCGATAACCCCTCAGACACCGTGTCGCCCAATTGTGGCATGCAGATGATTCAGCAGCATTGCAAGCATTTTTGATCAAAGGGGAAAAATATCGGTTAATTACTCTCTTGACCTAACTGGGTTTCTGACGCTGTGTCTGCTGATGTAAAGGGACTGGATATGTAGATTATACACATTTACAAATCAATCAATACAAATATTTCATTCAAAAGTTATGTACATACGGCTGAAGGATTTTATTGATACATACTCTTTTTTTAATGCATTGTGGTTATTTATTATTTTAATCCCATGTGTGCTTTTAATGTTTTAAGGTTTTTTCATTACTTGTGATTTTATTCTGTTTTTAATGTATTCATTGTTTGTATATGTAGTTTTTGATGTTTCTGATTTGTCTGATATTATGTGGGTTGTGAAGCGCTTTGAGTGGCCTTGTGTTGGAAAGGCGCCATACAAATAAAGTTAATTGATTGATTGATACTTAGGGTGTATTCAAACCTGAAAAGTCCTTTGCTCCGCTTGCTTGATCCGAATCAAAAGCGGACCAAACTTTTTTCTTTTGCTCCGGTTCGTTTTCAGACTGTCCTTTTTGCAAGTGAACTTTTTTATATAAACATATTGACACGTGTGACGATCGGCTCCTATTGGACAGCGAGAGCTCACGGAGGATAGATGCGGAACCAGAGGAAAACATTGAGGGCTCGTATGTGCAGCATGTCTGCTCTGACTGTGTCTGCTCTTTTTAGAGCAAAACCACCTTCAACATCAACAGCAGCTCATATGACTCAGGCCAAACACGTTGTTTTAAATATTGGAACAGCGTCGGAGAATGCGTGAGGAGAAAGCCGAAGGAGACTGTGCGCTCCGTGTCCTGTCCCACACATGGATCTATGATAATAACTCTGTCCCACACATGGATCTATGATAATAACTCTGTCCCACACATGGATCTATGATAATAACTCTGTCCCACACATGGATCTATGATAATAACTCTGTCCCACACATGGATCTATGATAATAACTCTGTCCCACACATGGATCTATGATAATAACCCTGTCCCACACATGGATCTATGATAATAACCCTGTCCCACACATGGATCTATGATAATAACTCTGTCCCACACATGGATCTATGATAATAACCCTGTCCCACACATGGATCTATGATAATAACCCTGTCCCACACATGGATCTATGATAATAACTCTGTCCCACACATGGATCTATGATAATAACTGTCCCACACATGGATCTATGATAATAACTCTGTCCCACACATGGATCTATGATAATAACCCTGCCCCACACATGGATCTATGATAATAACTGTCCCACACATGGATCTATGATAATAACTCTGTCCCACACATGGATCTATGATAATAACCCTGTCCCACACATGGATCTATGATAATAACCCTGTCCCACACATGGATCTATGATAATAACTCTGTCCCACACATGGATCTATGATAATAACTCTGTCCCACACATGGATCTATGATAATAACCCTGTCCCACACATGGATCTATGATAATAACTGTCCCACACATGGATCTATGATAATAACTCTGTCCCACACATGGATCTATGATAATAACCCTGTCCCACACATGGATCTATAATAACTCTGTCCCACACATGGATCTATGATAATAACTCTGTCCCACACATGGATCTATGATAATAACTCTGTCCCACACATGGATCTATGATAATAACTCTGTCCCACACATGGATCTATGATAATAACCCTGTCCCACACATGGATCTATGATAATAACCCTGTCCCACACATGGATCTATGATAATAACTCTGTCCCACACATGGATCTATGATAATAACTCTGTCCCACACATGGATCTATGATAATAACCCTGTCCCACACATGGATCTATGATAATAACTCTGTCCCACACATGGATCTATGATAATAACTCTGTCCCACACATGGATCTATGATAATAACTCTGTCCCACACATGGATCTATGATAATAACCCTGTCCCACACATGGATCTATGATAATAACCCTGTCCCACACATGGATCTATGATAATAACTCTGTCCCACACATGGATCTATGATAATAACCCTGTCCCACACATGGATCTATGATAATAACTCTGTCCCACACATGGATCTATGATAATAACTCTGTCCCACACATGGATCTATGATAATAACTCTGTCCCACACATGGATCTATGATAATAACTCTGTCCCACACATGGATCTATGATAATAACCCTGTCCCACACATGGATCTATGATAACCCTGTCCCACACATGGATCTATGATAATAACCCTGTCCCACACATGGATCTATGATAATAACTCTGTCCCACACATGGATCTATGATAATAACCCTGTCCCACACATGGATCTATGATAATAACTCTGTCCCACACATGGATCTATGATAATAACTCTGTCCCACACATGGATCTATGATAATAACTCTGTCCCACACATGGATCTATGATAATAACTCTGTCCCACACATGGATCTATGATAATAACCCTGTCCCACACATGGATCTATGATAACCCTGTTCCACACATGGATCTATGATAATAACTCTGTCCCACACATGGATCTATGATAATAACTCTGTCCCACACATGGATCTATTATAACCCTGTTCCACACATGGATCTATGATAATAACTCTGTCCCACACATGGATCTATGATAATAACTCTGTCCCACACATGGATCTATGATAATAACTCTGTCCCACACATGGATCTATTATAACCCTGTTCCACAACTTACTGACAGCAGCATGTGGATAAACCATGGATCTATAATAACCACGGGACAAACAGACGCTGAGGATCAGGTAGGAACCAAAGAACACAATTCACTACATGATGCGGAATATGTCTCTTTGAGACGTGAGTCAAACAGTGTCAGGCTTTTAATAATGCAAATGGTTTGAAGATGCTGCCATTAACATCACTGTAAACTGTGAACAGTTGTAACTCCATAAGCCTGTTGCACAGCGTCTCCTCACTGCTCCAGGTCTGCACACGGCTCAGTGTTGTTGTGTAGCGTTAGCAGCATAGTTAGCATCATAGTTAGCATCATAGTTAGCATCATAGTTAGCATCATAGTTAGCAGCATAGTTAGCAGCATAGTTAGCCGCTGCGTGGCTAATTCCTCAGTTTCTGTCTGCGGCTTGTTAAGCCCAAAAAATTCACACGTATCTTGGAGTTGTGTCGGATCGACACCGGATGTATTCAGACCTGATTCGACTTGGACCAGAATTCGTTTGGAAGCTGACCGAGACCACCTCAAAAAGTGGGTCTCGGTTTGGTTCTTTGGTCCGGACCAGGATTCGTTTGTGTGTATTCAGACCTGCATAAAAGATTCGGATCAGAGTTCCAAACGAATCCTGGTTCGTTTAAAGTGGAGCAAATGTGCAGGTCTGAATACACCCATAGTCTCAAAATAATAACAACCCGGAAACAAAAGTTTGAAAATAGATTTGGCTCCAATCCTTCATTCAACACAAACTCACACAGTTAAGACTCAGAACCAAACCGTCTCGTAATACTTTATAAATTGAAGCAGGTTTAAACATGTTTTTAATTAATTCGCTTGTTCATTCCTAAGTGTAAGCCCAACATCATAATACACATTAGTTCTTCATTTTGGTTCAATATTGGAATTTCAAATATCCTAAATATATAATAATGAGTCACGGGATGTCTTCTTTAAACACCGGTCAGCTGTCATTTCTCATAGAATTGCCAATTTTCCCCTTTTTGCCTCTACCATCTACTCCAGTCATTACTCTGTCAGCTATAGACAGTCAGAAACCCATTTTTACCCACCTGGTGTCTGTGTGGATGTGACCGCTGGTAAACTGTCGCTGGTTTGACAACTTGAGCTTGGCCTGTTTCATCATTCTGTCAGGGCTTGTCATCTGTTCTTGGCTGGATTTAAACAAGCAAAGCAAAGGGCGAGATGACGCTGTGTGATGGCCGCCTGTAAAGACGCATTCCACACAGCCCAATAACAACGACACACTGTGGTGCCATTGAGAAGGCACCAAGAGAGCTTTATCAAGACTTTAAAACAGCCAAAACTCTTCAATAGTAAAGGTCGTGTTTTACATTTGTAGTGGGTTTTAGTTTTATGGCAACAGACGGATCCTACCGATTTAGCTGTGCTCTACTCAAGACAATAAATGCTGACATAAATAAATGCTTAAAACACAATACAAAGTCAACAGAAGAAGACCAATGGTTCTAACAGGAAGATGCCCGGACGATAACCTGGAGCCCTAACATCTATTCGATTCGTCCAACAGGAGGAAGCCATTTTTGTCTGAAAAAATGTGCATATATTCAAGTATTCTTATTTTAGGTTAGAATATAGTCTATAGATCTCAAAATAACCTCAATAAACCTG